TTGAGAATGAAAATACGTGTGTAACAGTATATTGGATCCGTGCAGCTCTTAAAGCGACAGTGGGTAATATTCCTTCTGCCGTCTGTAATATTAATCAAACAAAAGACAGAGAAAATCACTCACTTCTCTTGACTGAAGGACTTTAATTCAAGGAGTTTAATTCTTACAGTGAAGACTATGCTGTTTTGTTTTACATTTGATTATTCAATTTCTGTAGCAGGCTGCTACCAAATACTTGCATAAAAAACTTAAAGCACTGTTTATTTCATTTGTATCTTTTTCTATTTTTTTACCTTTGCTTTTTTTTGTTTTTATTGTATGGCTGTCCATTTATTTTTCAAGAATTTTTGAGGACTTTTATCTTGAGGACCTAGTATTCTGATGTGGTATTGAGAATGGTATTGAACATTTTGCTGCTATCTAAAATGTACATTTCATAGCAACCTTATTTACAGAAAGTGTATGTTTGATATATATTGCTCTTTTTAAATTAATCACTCGTATTACGTTTTGGTCATACGACCCACTAATAATCGTGTTAAATAACCGTGATTACAATACTGACCAAAATAATCGTGATTATGATTTTTGCCATAATTGAGCAGCCCTAGAGTGCAATGAAGTCTATACTGAAGCAAAGTATTGATTTCTAAAGCTACTTTTTTGTAATGTCTAATATCTACCACAATGACTTTAAATGATCTTTTGGGGTAACTTCTCAGCCCAAACTGATGTGCAATTAATCTGCAATGAATGAATCAGCGCATCATGTAATGAATTAGACTGAAGAAGTTAATCTCTTGACAGTACACTGCTGTAATACATGCAGAACATGTCATTAGTGCAAGTTCAGACCTTGGTGAGCCTCTGAATGTTTTTCTTGTAGAGCGAGGACAGGCACTGTTTGACCAGGCCGGTGTTGTTGTCTCGTGCAAACGTCTCGCTCTGTCTGTTGACCAGAGCGCGCAGCTCGGCGGGGTTGTTGGTGGCGTAGACCTGAGCCAGCTCATGGTAAGCATTACTGAGGGGCTTTACATCACAAACACACACACAGAAAACATGATGAGCTCACGGGGTCTTTACAGTCAATCCAAAGCCACGGTGTCGAGGCAGAAACACTCACCTTGATGAACCGGCCCACGATCTGTGATGTGTATTTGGGGAGCTGCTGTAATTTGCCATGAAGGATGAGGGACACCAGGATGTACTTCTTGTATGCTTCTAACATGATGTGACTGACAGCCATCGCTGGAGTGGTTATTGCCTGAAAATAGACAGAAAGCACAAAATGCATGCTTATTCAATAGGAAAATGAAAATGGAAAATAAACCAGATGTTTACAAACCATTCATAATGTCAAATATTAATTGTGAATATTACAATGATTTTGATGTGCTTTTTATTTGGTCATTAAGTTTTCGTTAAGACTTGAACAGCAAAAACAGAATTTGATTCATTTTCGTGAATCAGTTCATCTCACTGAATCAATTCTGATTCATTAGTGCTACCACTTAATGATATTTAATCAAATCAAATATTTTTGATGCAGTCAAATGTTTTAGTATGTTGGTAAATGTTGTTTAATACCATGTATTTTGATGCATAAAACTCAAAATGATTAAATATTAGTGTTAATTTACTGAAAACATGCCTAGTTTAGGGTTTCATTAAGAGAATTTGATTCATTTTTGTGAATCAGTTCATCTCCATGAATCAATTCTGATTCATTAGTGCCATCAATTAATGATATGGCATGTAATAAAATGATTTAGTATGTGGGTAAATACTGTTGTTTATTACTAGGGTTGCAAAGGGGTGGAAAATTTCCGGACACTTTCCAAAAATCCCTGGAATATTCAAAAAAATCCTGGAAAGTTTCCAAAATTTCTGCAATGTTTCCGAAATTTACTGGAAATTTTCCACCTTTTTGCAACCCTATTTTTTACTATGTATTGTGGTGCATAAAACTTAAAATGATTAAATGTTAATGTTCATTTCGTGAAAAACAATTAAAAAAAGATTTTAGCTATACTGTCCCAGCATTAGCATAAGTAAAGCTGTACAAAAAAATAAATACCTGTTCAAAAAAATACAGCGCCCGTTCAAAGTTCTTCAGACCAGTGTAGATCATGCCTCCATAGTAGTAAAAACATAGAAAGTGCTTTGCGTCATATGCTCCGTTCTCCTTGCAAATATCCATCATGTCTAACTCCAGGAATGGGACTGCAGGTTTGAAGCACTTCGCTAATAGGCATAACTGTAAACATAGGGCCAAATCATTAGTTACACAATAAACATCAAACGATCAAGACCGTTTCACCCTCTGGCATCCATCACATAGGGATCACATTTGTGGTCAAAAGACTTTTGGGCTACATTTTTCAATATTTATTCGTTAATATTTTGAGGGGATTTCCTGGTACTACACAAGATTCACCTCATTATTTATTTCTATATGAAATAATACAATTATTTTCAAATAATACAGTGTTATAGCAACTGTGTAGTTGCTTAGCGCGTTAAATATCGCATGCGATTTATCGTGCAGCCCTAGTTTTCAGCAAATTTTTGGGTGAACTATTCCTTTAATTACCTGTAATAACGCAATAAATATTTAAGGACACCAAATGACATCCTCCCGGTTTTTCACAGCTCTTAAATCTAATAGTTGACTCACCTGACACAGGTCTGCATGCACTGAGGTAAGCTGGTTTGTGTTCATCTGCATCTTGTCTATGGCCTGTTTAATTATACTTATTCCACGCAAAGGCTGTAAAGTAAAAGAAAACTTAATGTCAGCTTTATCATGTAAAGGTAACAATTGAAAAAATGAATAAGACACACTTGCCTGTTTTCTTTCTACAAGGGCGGTTGTCAACTGGTGGCACAGACCAGCAACTGTATGCAGGAATAAAACACAAAACATATTAGCACAGATTATAACCAGCACAATGAAAAGAATGTGTTTATGTTTATTCTTACATGTGTCTGTGGCGTATCGGATGTGCTCTCCATTGCAGGTGCTGATGAAGAGTTGGACTTGGGAAAACAGGGTCTCAAAATCAGGGATGCTTGGCATGGAAAACTTCACAAACCTGTAATACAATTAAAACACATGACTAAACACACTGTCTCTCTCTCTCTCACACACACACACACACACACACACAGATTGTGTTGTGTTTTCCAGATCTCTCTCTGCTGCAGGACTCGCAGGAGGACACGGATGGATGTGAGTTTATCCCTCTCTGTCTGTCTGTCTGTCTGTGTGTGTGTGTGTGTGTGTGTGTGAGTGAGTGTGTGTGAGAAAGGCGTTAGCTTTATGCTGAATGTGATTCATATAGCGCAGGTCACGTGACCCGCTGCTGTGGTAATCTGAGGTAAATGTGTGTAAATACCATAGACTGTGTGGTAAATACACACGGAATCATAACAGTGTTAGAGATATAAGAGCTTCACTGAACTCCATGCCCAGAATCATGGTAATACCATGGTACCGTGCTCAGAAACATGGTGTTTTTGTTTGTGACGCGTTAGACAGCTGTGCTTGGGCTTGGTTTAGTCGTCTGAACTAGTCTACAGCTTTACTAGTGCTGTTTACTAGGTCAGATTATATGTCATATATATATCATGAATCCGCTGTGAATCAACAAGTCACCGACTTACAAAACAGCTAAAACCCCGAGGGAATGTTCTTGGATGTCCAGCGCTCCAAGAACAGTGTCCAGATGGGAGAGATTCTTGGCCAGAAGCTCCCCGCTTTTATTGATCAGCTCACACAGTTGAGTCATCTGACCTGAGAAACACAGCATTATTAATGAAAACATGATTTCACATCAGTTTAATGCAAATATGCACGAAATCAAGATCTCACATTTAGTTTTTTAATAATGATAACCTGTCCTTCTTATTGAAAATTGGCTACACGTGACAGAGAAACTCAGAGTAGTAGTGTTATGGTGGCATTTTTTTACCATATTATATAAATGACTCAGCTAACATGGCACCTGCAGTCATTCCACTGGTGTAAAAGCTAAGCGGTCCAGATGTGTACTTATTCTGCAGCATTTAGGTTTTTATTTCCACTTGGACGAACAGACTTAGATAAGCAAATGCCATGTGTTACTGCCTGATATATATAAACAACTAGCATGCTATCGCGCTAACGGCTTTTAGCACTAAGCTAGTTAGCTCGTGTATTCGTTAGCCTGAGCGTTCGCGAACCGTGTAAACGGCGGTACCTTGAGCGGAGAGTTGCCGCACGTTATTCACGAACTGCTCCAGAGCCGAAGCCATCTTTTTGCGCTTTTGGGAAGATGTTTTTCATTCAAACGTCAGAAGCAGCTCTCCTGTACAGAAGCGACGGGCCCTCAGCCGCCAACAGCACACAAATATCGCGAGGTTTGAGTGACAGCTCAGATTCCACGAGATCTCAGGCACGGGATCTTTCCTGCCGGACAGCGAATGCTATTTTTGAGATTATTATGTTTAGATATTTCACGACACAAACACATATCTTTTATATATTTAGAGCTAAATGTTTTTTTTGTTTTTTTTTTTTACATCAAAAGGTCGCAGGATTTCGCATTTGAAATCGACATAAGCAATAAAAGGAACGTGTTTTTTCCGGTGCAAAACAAAGATATTCTGACTGGAGAGACGATCATCTTGAAGGCTTCCGAGAAATCAGTACGTGGACATATTGATGTAAATTTTCAAATAAAAATCTCTGTTAAATAGTAATGTATTATAGGTTAATTCTTTATATTTTCCATCATTTCAGAGAAAAAAATATGCAGGGCGATAGCCACAAATAGGATTTTGCTTACTGAGAAAACAGAATAGAAATGCTATTTAATTTAAAGCTATTTATGTAATATGTGATATATAATTTAATAATATATTATTTGTAGTATTTGCATACTATATGCATCATAAAACGATTTTGCTGGATTTCTTATAAAGTAGCCAACTTGAAAAGAGCTCCTATTAAAAGTTATTTCAACCTTTGTTATTTTTTTCCCTAGCCTGCATTTGTAAGCCATGAATCAAATCAAGCAGCTACGAGGTGAATCACAACATTACAAATTTTGATTTGAACCAAAAAGGTATTTGAATTTCAGACAAAAGACTAAAGTTCAAGACTGTAAGGGAATGAACTACATTTTTTTACATCAAAAGGTCGCAGGATTTCGCATTTGAAATCGACATAAGCAATAAAAGGAACGTGTTTTTTCCGGTGCAAAACAAAGATATTCTGACTGGAGAGACGATCATCTTGAAGGCTTCCGAGAAATCAGTACGTGGACATATTGATGTAAATTTTCAAATAAAAATCTCTGTTAAATAGTAATGTATTATAGGTTAATTCTTTATATTTTCCATCATTTCAGAGAAAAAAATATGCAGGGCGATAGCCACAAATAGGATTTTGCTTACTGAGAAAACAGAATAGAAATGCTATTTAATTTAAAGCTATTTATGTAATATGTGATATATAATTTAATAATATATTATTTGTAGTATTTGCATACTATATGCATCATAAAACGATTTTGCTGGATTTCTTATAAAGCAGCCAACTTGAAAAGAGCTCCCATTAAAAGTTATTTCAACCTTTGTTATTTTTTTCCCTAGCCTACACTTGTAAGCCATGAATCAAATCAAGCAGCTACGAGGTGAATCAGAACATTACAAATTTTGATTTGAACCAAAAAGGTATTTGAATTTCAGACAAAAGACTAAAGTTCAAGACTGTAAGGGAATGAACTACAATGACGTAATGGAACCGAAATTAAAACTAATAATTGTAAAATTAAAAACGAAAGAGAAGTATACGATTATTGATATAAAGATGATGATTGTGTGTATATAACATTTTTACATTTATTGCAAAATCGTCGCTTGAGTTTTGGCGCCATTTACTTGCATGGGAATCATGGGAATTGTAGTTTTTCACCAGGGATTCCGCTGTGAAACACGATTACTTAAAAATAAAGTCGACATAATGCGGGATGGCGACTTCATCAGAAGCACACAGCATCGATTAACATCCACTTAGCTCACAGTTAGTCTGTCTTTAATGGTTTATAAGATATCGCTCAGAATCAATTCCCCTATGGAGAAAATGAATAGGGCATTAACTTCCGGTCGGAACCCGACAGGGACACAACCGGAAGTGGTTCCTGTGAGGGAAAGAATCTACGAGTGTGTGATCTCTCGCTTTGCCAATAATCTCGGGCACACTATGTTCAACCAGAAATAGCCACCAGATTACAGCATGATTTTGAGAACGTAAACATATTACTGTAACGGGCTTCATTTCGCAAGTACTTCATTCATAGGGTTCGCGTTTGCACAGCTAGTGTAAACAAATGCAGAAACGCGAGGTCAACAACGCTGCAATTCAACACCAGCGACCGCTGGAGAAACACGAGACCCTCTGACCCAAACAAAAGACCCCAACAAACGCGTTTACAATGAGCAAAACAATAGAGAGCCGACCGAATGAGATGAGCTAACACGATTAGCCTCGTCCTGCTACAAACACAGCCCTCTCTATATGAGTTAATGCGCACTGCCGAGAGTTTCAGGCGAGTTTAAGGTTGTTTATCATGACTTTACTGCCGAGGATTGTGAAATGGGTCGAGAGAAGCGCTTCCTCGATGTACTTTCACTCTCGCTGCAGCGCTAACATGAGCACCAATGAGCGCAGGCTGCGAGTGCTGGTGGATATGGACGGAGTGATCGCGGACTTCGAGGGAGGATTCTTAAAGAAGTACAAGGAGAAGTTTCCAAACGAGCCTTTTATATCTTTAGAGGACAGAAGAGGATTCTGGGTGTCGACGCAGTATGGAGACATGAGGAGTGACCTGTGTGTAAGTGTGTGTGTGAGTGTGTGTACAGGTATATATGGTTTATGAGGACACAAATGTGTATAATGACATGGGTACTACAACTTAAACATGGTTTATGAGGACATTTCCTGTGTCCCCGTAAAACAAAAGGCTTAAAAAACATACAAAACGGTGTTTTATGAAATTCAACCGTTGGTGTAGGGCAATAGAAAATACAGTTTGTACAGTATAAAAACCATTACGCCTATGGAGAGTCCCCGTAAACCACAAATACAAGTATGAGTGTGTGTGTGTGAGAGAGAGAGTGTGTGTGTGTGTGAGAG